CTTAAAGTAATTCATTCAAGAGAAAAATGGAGGAAAGAAACAAAGAAAGGTAACAGAAATGTATGCTTTTGCTTAAGGTCCAAACAAATGTCATCTCCTTTATGAGGCCTTCCCACACAGCTAGAAGTTCTTTCACAATAGCTATTAATGAACATGTCAGACCTTCTCTACTAGATTGAGAGCTCCTTCAGTTCAGCATTTACCTTTATATTTTATATTTATATTTACCTTTATAACCTATACCATGTCTAGTACAGTACTAGATATGTCTATTCAATGAGTACTTGTGTGTTGTATTTATTTGTGTGTCTATTAATGTATGTGTATATGCACTAAGTTTGGCACTGAGAAAACATCTATGTGTATAAAGGAATTAAGAACTTTCTGAAAGCTTAAGTCAGTTACTTTTGATAATGAAAGTACCAATGTCAGTTGCACCCAGTACTGCAAAACACATACACAGGCATTTCTTGTGCGCCATAAGTTGTTAAAAAGTCTGAAGCAATTATTCCCATAATACAAAATAATGGGTAGAGCTGAAGACACAATACTATCAAAATAAAAGGATTCATATCCTAAACTATAATTTTTAAAACATGATTCTGTGCTAAGAGATTTATTAGAAAATAAATCATTTACTCACCCATTGATGTTCACTGTCATTCAACAACAATAAAATTCTTACTGGTTTATTTCCCTCATCTTACTTTTGACTCCAAATGTCATTTTTTTCTATGCTTGATTTTTACTTTCTCATTTTTTGTGTGTTCTCTTGATTTTTATAATGAGAAAGTATTATATTTTAAATCATAACATCAATAACATTATCTTAAGATTTGAAAGAAAAAGAGTGGTATTTAAAACCTTGTTGATGACCAGTTAGTTATTAAATTAGCTACTGTTATTTCACATTTCTCCAAAATACATCTGAATATCACTTTAGAAATTTGCTAGAAATTTAGTATACAAGTTTAACAATGAAGGGATAATTTTAGCTAGAAAAGTGCTTGAAACATATCTGAAAGGAGAGATTTCTAAATTCCAGCCTATAATGAGAAATGAGTCACTTTTTTTTCCTTGCAAAAAAATAGAAGTTGTCAACAGGCTAGAATTCTACATCTTTAAAGTTTGAGTCTGGAGAAGAATTGAAATCAGAAAGATTTCAAATCAATAGACTTTAAAAATTTTTCCCCGGTACAGTAACACCCAGGAAGCTGCCTTTTTAAACGCTGATGAAGCCCTCTCTAGACCTGTCCACATCATACTCTGCTTGACCATGGTGAAAGAAAGGATGAATCCTTTCGTTAGATATTATTTTAACTAGTGATTTAAAGCTACTCTGACAAATGATTCAAAATTGCTCACACAGTCTTAAACAACTAGCATGACTAACGATCCTTCCTCATAAACTTGATCACATTTAGATTCTGAAATTCCATTCTACCTTTTTGACTCCTTTACATTTCCCTATGTCAACATCATAGTAATCACATCAATGCAATCCATGCAAATACAAGTCTCCATTCTCTCCATCTGTCCTTAAAAGCCTGGTTCAGCAGTCTGTGCTATAGCAGCATGCTGCAGCATCCCTGCACTTGAACTTGGGAACAGGCTTTCCAAGACTGCAGGCAGAGCCCTTACCGCATTCCTTCTGAACCTCATCTTGCCTCTCGGGGGATTTGCTTCTGCCATCTCGCCTATACACAAGAACACTCTTCTTTTCCAATTGTCAATGCAACATTGATGAAATATGAGCTGCTTCTTGGGTAGTATTTAAAAGCGGCAGCCAAAAATCTCTATCAAACAAAGCTATCGTAGCTGCTTCCATTACCACCGTGGCAGCACTGCAAAAACGCACTAGCCCTGAGTAGTCAGCTGACAGAGCCCTCCCGGCCGCTCATTGTAATTCAGAGCTGACACATTCCCCTAATTACTTAGCCTGATTGAACCTCATGGATTAGCTTGTGCTGGACTGCTTGAGAAGATCAGGCATGTCCTAAGAGTGGAGGAAGGAAAAAGAAATAATAACAACGACTCTCCTCCTAGGGGCTTGATGGGACTGGCTTTCTCCTCTGCACAGTTTGATTTTTAAGGTGGAATGCTAAGAATCTTTGTGAAGGTAGTATTAACTGATACCTTTATTCTTGTCCTGCCCTGGTCTGTAACTTAAAATTCGAAATTTCTTTTTATTAAATTCTATTCTGGGTTTAAGCCTTGTGAAAGGTTAACGGTTTGTGAAATTTTGTCCTAATGATAAGCCTAATGATATAGAAAGGACATAACATGCAAACTTTCTAAGATTGATAGGATTCTCTCCCAAATTCACATTTACCCAAAATGTGCAACTAAAAAGAAATCTTGTGTCCCTTCTCATTAATTATGAAGTATAACCTAATTACATAGCTTACTTTGGTATCCACAAATTAAGGTCTTCAAATTGAATTGTATAATTATTTCATAGGCACCCACTTAAAATGATATATCAAAGACGGTTACACCTATCTATACAATGGCAATTTTCACCAGAAATCCTTTCTGAATGCCAACTTTGGCTCTTAAAATTAGCTCGTATTCGATATTTACCTTTATTGGAAACAATGTCCAATGGCTATTAATGGTTGAGATATAACTAATGTGCTCTTAAAGTGTGGGTATAGAAACTATACCGCAAGCAGAAACATTTAATATGTTAAAAAAAAAAAAAACAACACTTAATCTACAGCCAGTTACACGTCATCACCACCTGTACTGCCCGGCACCACCAATGTGACAGTCATGAGAGTGAAGGGACCCTGACTGCTGAGCTCTCTGCTGAGCATGGCTCATACTTCCACACTGAAAGAGCATCCTTAGGAACACAGAAAGAGGGAGTGTCGCCTCCCAAAAAAATAAGTTATTATGCCTGTGTTGACCCCATATCAATAGGATCAAGACCAAATCTTACATTTCTCTTTTAGGAAAAATAAGACTTCTGTTCCAAGCAATCCATTTTGATTAATAAAGATAAAACTTTACCAAAAAACTGATGCCATGTGCCAAACAGTCACTCAATGAAAATTAATTTAATCAAGCAGGTAGTTTTGGCTGAAAGAAAAAAGCTGGGCTGGGCGATTTTAAAAAAATGTCTTATTGTAACAAGTGCTATGTTTAGTATAAAATAATTGATTATTGTCATAAATTGAAGTCTGCTCAACAAGCCCAAGGACCGATCCTAAAAGGCCAGAGCGAGGTGAATAGCTTTTACTTCATTTAGCCCCACCCATGGGGCTCAACAGTTCATGGAGGGCAGATCTACTTTCTCCAAAGGAATTTTACCTTTTTCTAAAAAACATTAAATTTGTCTATCCACAAGTCATCTGGAAAATGACAGAAAGCCGCAGGTGGGAAGGGCACCAACTGGAATTCATGAAAATTCTGCTCTTGCTCTGACTCTTTCTGTTGCTTAGCTATGTGACCTTAGAGTCATCGCATAACCTTTCCAAAGTGCATGCATCAATGCAATTCCCTCATCTTTAAGACAGTTATAATGATACCCGCCTGCAATACTTCATCAGGAAAGAAAGAGAAGCAATACTACTTACTAAATGTGAATGCTTGTGAAAAAGCAAAAATATATTATACGAAGTCAAAGTTTTGCTATTTTATTTTAGGCACTTGTGTGAATCTGGTGTTAACTTTTCTCTCCATTGCTTATGATTAAACACCTCTGTTATAAAAAATAAACAAAAAACCACTTGCTGACTCACCCAAGATGAGGAATAATTCATACTGGGTATGAAAAGCATAATGATCTCATTTATTTTACCATGTGAATGCCGGTACCTTTTTTACACTCACTAGTAAGGTGGTATAGTAAAAAGAACACTGGCTCAGAAATCCCACAACCTAGAATTTTGTCTTGCCTTCACCATTAAATCAACTTCCTCTGGTGGAAGTGGCTTCCTGTGTCGATCAGGAGATAAAATAAGAACTTCAGATGGTTGACGATGTTGGACACTCAAAGAAAAAAAATACACTGACTCCCAGCTACTCTGCTCTATTAGAGGAAGTTGGCCACATGGTACTTCTACAGATAGCCCCAATATTGCCAGCTCAGTGGTTTATGGGTTCCTCATCTCCTTCCTCTTCTAGGAAAGAGAAGCGCCAGACAATGACACTCTATCCAGGTGAGCCTAATAATCTAAAAGATCATCTTGGTTGTGGTCAGGATTGCATCTCTCCTATGGTTTCCTTTAGGGAAACCGTTTTCTCTATCTGGATCTTGGGAAGCTGGGGACCAGACTCTAATAGGGAAGGTGACTCCCCTACTCTATCCCAAGGGAAAAATGTCTAGAAAGATACAAACCCAAATGTTAAAAAGTGCTTATTTCTGGATGGTTGGATTATTGACTATTGTTTTAGACTTTCTTCTTTATACTTTTCCATATACAATGAGTATTTTAAAAAGCTATTTTCATCAAAAAAAATTCTCATAAAAACTTGCCTTGCTCTCAAACGCATAGGGAACCATGAGTCTCTTCTCATTCATAACGTGAACCATTTACCACTCATTCTTGCCCATTAGGTTTGACTTTGGGTTGAGTTGTTTAGTTCAATCTCCTGTACCAACTCTTCTTCCTATATTCTCAGCTCACCATCCCAACTATTATTTTCTCCATCAGTATTTTTATTGTCTCCATCAGTATCAAAATAATCTGTACCATCACAAATAGAAAGTATAATGTAAAACAAAAACTAAGTAGCTAGGCTGGCCCCGTGGCCGAGTGGTTAAGTTCGTGCGCTCCACTGTAGGCGGCCCAGTGTTTCATTGGTTCGAATCCCGGGCGCGGACATGGCACTGCTCATCAAACCACGCTGAGGCAGTGTCCCACATGCCACAACTAGAAGGACCCACAACGAAGAATATACAACTATGTACCAGGGGGCTTTGGGGAGAAAAAGGAAAAAAATTAAAAAAATAAATAAACTAAGTAGCTACTATAGAATGCATTGGTACTTACTGAGATTTTTTGGAGAGAGATTTTGAGAGAAGACCAAGTATCCAATCTTCGGTCAACAATAATGGTAAATCGGGAGTCAGATCCATTTTGCCTGCAAGATAAGGGAAAATAGTATGTTTTTCTTAGTAATAACCCAAATTTGCTAGATATGTCCTTACTTCTGACTATTTCATTTACATTTGATGTCTTGACTGAAGATAGATTTGGATTTGAAAAGCTATTACAAAGCACTACCTGGAAAACCAATTTGATTCCATACCCCACTACTCGCTACTCAAAATTTCTTTGTTGGCACTAATGTCAATCTTTTAAATAGGCAAGTGATTAACCAGACTTCTTATGATCATTTTGCAGTATATACAAATATCGATTCATTATATTGTACACCTGAAACTGCTATAATGTTACATGTCAATTATACTTCAATAAAAAATAGGCACGTGATAGCGTAATGTAGATAGGTCACTAAAACGGATTAGGAGTACTGTGATCTTGGGCATGGGAAAACCTTATAGACAGCTGTCCTTCATGACATCAGATTTAAATTTTTAAGGCATCCATCACAAGCCAATGATCCATTCACTCATTCATAAAAACACTTCTTTCTTTCTTTCTTTCATTTAAATATACGTTTCTATCTCTTGACTGCTCCTTGAGAAAAGGCAGTTTAATGGATAATAGAACTTTTATTTACCCTAAAAAGACCACTTTCAAGCTTTAAGGGGTGCCTCACAAATTTAGTTTTCTGGGATTTGATTTTTGTTCATAAGACTCTTCACAATTTTAGCATCCTAGATTTGCACCCTCTTAGTCTTCAGGGTTAGTAACTGGAAAATGTTTCCTTTAAAAAATTTGTCTTCAACCTAAGTAAAATGTTTAAGGAAGCTTTGGAAACTTTCTCTTTTAAAACATTCTAGTCTCAAATGATTTCTAATATCAAGAAGTTTCTTCTTGGGGCCGGCCCCGTGGCCAGGTGATTGGGTTCGTGCACTCTGCTTTGGCGGCTCAGGGTTTTGCCGGTTCGAATCCTGAGCGTGGACACGGCATAGCTCGTCAGGCCACGCTGGGGCGGCGTCCCACATGCCACAGCTGGAGGGACCCACAGCTAAAAATATACAACTGTGTACTGGGGGGCTTTGGGGAGAAAAAGGAAAAATAGAAAACAAATTTAAAAATTGAAGAAATGAAGTTCCTTCTAATATATTACAATATCACTTTTGTGTCTATTTAACATTCAGTGGTCTTCTATTCTTGGAAGAAATGAAGAATAGCTTCCTCACTCTTGGCTAGTAAGATTTCCTTTCAGACAAATGAAAGGCTTTATGCATGATCATCATTCTCAACCTCTGATCTTCTTTATGGGGACAAATACTTCTAGACCATAAGTTTTCTTTTCATAGATCCTCAGTGTAATTTTTATAGCAATTTAGGTAGCTGTCAGCTTCCCTTTCTAAATTATATTTCTTATCTTCTCTGAAGGTGAGTCTTAGGATCATTTACAATAATAATAATAGCCACACTAAAAAGCCAATTTCCCGTTGTTACATTCAAATGGGTATCTGATATAAAACAGATTGGAAAAAAATGTAATAAAATGCTATACCTCGCAATAGATGTCAAGTAAGTAAGCACTTTTGCTATCACTTCTTCTGGTATACATCTGAAATTACAATTTTCTGGAAACGTAATGATCCAAGCATTGTCCTTTCCCCGGCCACCTGAAATAGTATTTAAAAATCAACCAAATTAACCATTTATGTGACAATGATGCAAGAAAGAGAATTTTAGATTTGAGAGGGGCAATTAGAAGACAGTTTGGGGCCACTTTAACTTTTCTAAGGATGATGATCTCCACATTAACCAAAATGGCACCATGCTCCTGACGAAGTTTAAAAAGTGGCAGAGTGAGGGGCTGGCCCCGTGGCCGAGTGGTTAAGTTCGCGCGCTCCGCTGCAGGCAGCCCAGTGTTTCGTTAGTTCGAATCCTGGGCGCGGACATGGCACTGCTCATCAGACCACGCTGAGGCAGCGTCCCACATGCCACAACTAGAAGAACCCACAACGAAGAATACACAACTATGTACTGGGGGGCTTGTGGAGAGAAAAAGGAAAAAATAAAATCTTTAAAAAAAAAAAGTGGCAGAGTGAGAAATAAACAGAGAAAGCAAGCAAGCAGGAAAAATGGGTGAATATAGTAAGAAAAATTCATGGAATGCATACAATAAATGTAGGGTTTATAGCTGATCCCTCAAATTCAACAACTGAGGGTACTGGGAAATGACTGTTTCTGTACGAATGTTACGAGCCTAAATTCAAAATGCGTAATTGACAGCTTGACAGCAAGTGGAAACCTTGATATAATTGGCCACTTACAGTCATGGTGAGCATGAAAGAATACAGGATACAAACTATAGGAAATAAGTAATGTTCTAATGGATTTGTAGAAGAAACAACATAAGCTGTAATAGTAACAATGGTATAGGAATCTTACTAATGCAAAGAAAGAAAGACCACAATTTCTCTGTAGAATTCAGAGAAAATTTCAGTGTGTATCCTACTCCATAGCCCTTGATGCATCCTGGAGGATGAGGAACATTGAGAATGAATGCAGGCACGAGCCTTACACGTGGTTATGGCCACACTCTATATTCAGCCCAACACCTGGGAACAGAGTGGGTGCTCAATAAGCATTTAGTGCTAACTGGAAGGTGATGGATTATTTTAGGAGGAACGTTGTAGGGAAGCCTTTGAATTTAGCTTGCTAATAGAAATATTTCTAGAACTTTAGTTGTAATTCTTATTTGGCTGAATTTAAGTGACTAAAGATATAAGGATATTAAAAATTCACTGTGCAATAAAAATATGACAATGGCAAAAGAGTTAAAATGGAATGACAAAAATAATCTTAAAGAAAGCAGAAATGGACGGAAACAAAACAAAGAACTAATGAAACAAATAAAAAACAAATAGTAAGATGGTAGAGTTAAACCCAGCCACAAGGATAGTCACATTAAATGTAAGCGATCTTGACCCAATTAAAAGTCAAAGATGATCAAACTGGATAAAGTAAAAATCAAGACCCAAATATACAATGACTAAAAGAAACACACTTTAAATATAAAGGCACAAATGCATTAAAACCAAAAAGATGGAAAAAGATATACCATGCTAATATTAGTCAAAAGGAAGCTGTCTAATTTTAGATAAAGTAGATTTCAGAGTCAAGAATATTACTAGATATTAAGATAATCACTTGATAATGAAACAGCAGTAAATTCATCAAGAGGTCATAACAATCTTAAATGCTTATGTACCTCATAAAAGACCTTCAAAACATATGAAACAAAAACTAATAGAGCTGCAAGGAGAAACAGACAAATCCACAATTTTAGTTAGAAATTTCACCTCTCCTTTCTCAATAATTGATAGAACAAGTGGATAGGAAATTTGCAAGTACAGTACACCTGAAGAACAATCTCAACCAACATGACCTAATGACGTTTATAGAACACTCCATCCAACAAAAGCAGAATACACGTTCTTCTTTAGTGCACTTGGAAAAAGATCAAATTCATCCTTGCCTTAATCTATACCAAGGGAAACTTGAGGGAGAGTCCCCATTCCCAAATTGTCTTTTGACTCAAACTCGTCCAAGGTATTAAATCAAATGATGATAAATCTTCACTTTATAATATTCCAGACTTAAAGAGCAAGATGAAGATATTCATGGAGAATGATTGCATCCACCCAAGACTTTCACAGGAACTCAAAAGTTTCAAGCTGTACAACTCTGAACCAAGAGATTAAGCAAATCATTAAACAAAGGGCCTCTATCGGTAGGGTATGGTGTAGAAGCAGCAAAATATAAATAATATATAATATATAATGCAACATATATATTATATGCAATATAACTTAGTCTTGCCAAGCAAGCTGGTAAGCACTCTAGTTAAGGACAGAACCACCTAGCGCTTAGGCAAATGATATCTATCAAGGGAAAGAATACAAGGTTCCTATAAGGGTAAATTATCATCAACTAACGTAGAAACTGTTATTACCACTGAGCACCTGTAAGTGCTGTACTAGGTAGTAAATTTGTCCGAAAAGAACGAAAGAACTACTTATATTCTAAATTCGGAGGTTTTAGTTATTTTTCCCATTGGGAACCCTTTCTTCAAAAGAAACCATATGTAGAAGCATTTTGAAAACAATTACAAAAAGAAGATAAGGAAAGAAACTGTGCAGAGGAGTCTGGGGGGGGGGGGAACACGCCCTGAGGGCAGTTCTGTTTGGGGCACAGTCTGAAAAACATTGATTAGCTTCAGTAAAATCCCCGGATCTCAAGAGTGACAGTATGTCACATATTTATACAACTTACACGATAAAACATTAAACCACTTTAATTAAGTTATCACTAATTCACAATGACTAATAATTATAATCATTACAGCAGAGGCCAGATTGAAGCGTCCAATTAGGGTCATCTATAAAGTAAATGCTTGTTTAGTAAACTGAGCATGCATCATTTTAGGAGAAATAATTAAACTACCTCAAAGGAGTAAGATCATTTTTTGTACTCTCAACACCTAAGAGCATTCATTTTCATGCAAACAATGCATATACTCATAAATTTTTCTTATCTACCTAATACGATAAATATAATGTTTAATGGTATAGCTCAAATTAATACCTGGAAGTAATTTGCTTGTCTTTAAGCAAAACTTTCCCTAGATATCTGATCAAGTCAAAAAGAGAGGGATGGGAGCCGGTCCTGTGGCCAAGTGGTTAAGTTCCCATGCTCCGCTTCTGAGGCCCAGGGTTTCCCTGGTTCGAATCCTGGGGGCGGACGTGGCACCAATCATCGGGCCATGCTGGGGCAGGGCCCCACATGTCACACCTAGAAGGACTCACGACTAAAAATACACAACTATGTACCAGGGGGCTTTGGGGAGAAAAACGAAAAATAAAATCTTTAAAAAAAAAAAAAGAGAGAGGGATGGTTTACCACAGTTCTATCTCAAAAAATATGTGATGCTATTGAGCAGCATTACTCACAACAGCCAAAGGCGGAAGCAATCCAAGTATCCATCAGTGGATGAATGGACACACAAAATACGGTATATACATAGAATGCCATATTATTCAGCCTTAAAAAGGAAGGAAATTCTGATATATGCTACATAATGGATGGACCTTGAGGACATTATGCTAAGTAAGTAAACCATTCACAAAAGACGAATGCTGAATGATTCCACTTCTATACGAGGTACCTAGAATAGTCAAATACCTAAAGAGAGAAGGTAGAATGCTGATTGCCAGGGGCTAGGGGGAGGAGGGAATGGGGAATCATTTTTTAATGGGTACAGAGTTTCAGCTTTGCAAGATGAAAAGAGTTCTGAAGATGGATAGTGGTGATGGTTGCACAAGAATGCGAATTCATTATTTAATGCTACTGAAGCGTACACTTAAAAATGTTTAAGGGGCCAGCCCAGTGGCACAGCAGTTAAGTTCGCACGTTCTGCTTCGGCGGCCTAGGGTTCACCAGTTCAGATCCTGGGTGCAGACCTATGCACGGCTTGCCAAGCCACGCTGTGGCAGGTGTCCCACATATAAAGTAGAGGAAGATGGGCACAGGTGTTAGCTCAGGGCCAGTCTTCCTCAGCAAAAAGAGGAGGATTGGCAGCAGATGTTAGCTCAGGGCTAATCTTCCTCAAAAAAAATGTATAAGACGGTAAATTTTAGTTTATGTGCATCTTATCACAATTTTTTAAAATTACAGTCATGAGTTGCTTAACGACACAGATACATTCTGAGAAATGCGTCATCAGGTGATTTCATCATTGTGTGAACATCATAGAGTGTACTTACCCAAACCTAGATGGCATAGCCTGCTACACACCTAGGCTATGTGGTACTCATCTCATGGGACCACCATCGTATATGTTATTCATCATTGACTAAAACGTCATTATGTGGCAAATGATTGTTTTACAAATGCATGTACAAATACCATACGTACTTTAGAAAAGTAAACTTTCTTTATCACGTGTAGACAAAATTCTAAAAAAAAACCCTTAGTACGTGCTGCTTAATTAGCATGACGACAGCATTTGTAATAAACACTTAAGTAAGCAGAGTTATGGTGGAGGAGAAAATCTCAAAGAAGCCACCTCAGTTGCCACCTTCTCCCTCGGCCTGCACCCACCCGAGAGATGTCTTCTACTTTCACCTATCATGGATTTCTAAAGACTTGTCTGAAAGTCAAATGTACAAGGGTGGTGGGATTGGTTTTAATCACATATTTAAAATCTCTAATTATTCTCTAAATGTCCATTTGTTTAGCAACTACATGCACAGCATATGTTTATTAAAATAGTGCTTCTCAAACTATATACATAGCTGCTTATAAGGACAAAACTAACTTTGCTAATAGATTCATAGATTTATCTGGTCTAAATATATGAAAAAGTCTGCTTACCAGACAAGAAGGCGATGTCTTGCATTAAGAAATGGCTGATATCCTTCACACGGAGGAGCACCTCAGTTTCTATAACAAACGAGACAGGGAGAGAAATGACACACGTTAGAGTACAGCTAGGAACATACACATGATTTCTCATACAATGAGATCTGCTGATCTTCTCCGCGTTACTCCTCTCAGCTAGATGGCAAGGAAATCACGCTTGAAAATATCACCGGGTAAGTCAGGACCAGTGTCCTAGTTCTTAGAACCTATGCCCAGGACAAAAACTACTCTCACTCACCAGAAAGCCTGGGGCAAAGGTCCAAACTCCAGGACATCTGGATTTATGCAAAGGGTAGGAAGTCATGTAGAGACACTGTAGCAAATAGTCTTCTAGTTCTGAGAATGCCTTCCATTCTGCCAAGTTTTATTAGTGACTATGAAGCACTTTTCACATCTTTTATCCTACTGGATCTTTAAATAACACTGAGAAAGGTATTATTATCCCATTTTAAGTCAGGAAAAGAGTTGGAAAGAGAGTCCAGTGCGGCAGTTAAACATGTGGCTTTTGAGTCAGATAGATCCAGATTTAAATCCCAGCTTGCTGCATCTACTGGGTGTGCAAACATGTGCAAGTTAACCTCTCAGAGCCTCGAGTTTTCTTACCTGTAAACTGAGTATAATAATATCTGCCTCACAGGGTGCTGTGCCAACTAAATGCAAACCAACTGGCATAATAGTTGGTGTTCACCAAGTGGCAGCCTATTAACTTATCTTTGATCATGATAGGTGGAATGACATTGACGCATTGTTCAAGACGCTTTAGTTGTCCCAGATCTTAAGTGCTAATTTGTAATGTTCAATTCTAGTGAACTCTACAGGGGCCAGAAATCAAAGTCCACTACCTGCCTCTGGTCCATGAGCAAGCATAACTTTTGAAAAGAAAATGGGTCATCAAACTAAGCTATTTTGGATTGTTATTTTTCATACCTGTGGTTCCACATCTCTTATAGAAGTCCTATTTTCCACTTGCTCTCTGATACAAAGGGCCTTCAAAGACCTAGTCTCCGGTGGTGTCAGGCTGATGACACATCACCCTTCTTAGTGATCCTCAAATCATACCATAAGGATGTGGTTTATCAGGGCCAATCCTGCTGAAGGGCATTACAAAAACAGGTTCTCAATAGGTCCACCCTAGACAATGGAATCTGTTACAGAATGACTCACCCCTCACATACACACCCCTAATTTAAAATAAAAGGAAATTAATTGACAAATTTAGTTTCATAAGACACATGGCATTAAGAACCTGCAATTTGTCAGGACTTAAAAATCAACTCCTAAAAATGTCTTGTAATGAAAAAAAAAATTAGGTTCCTGGTATGTATCCCAGGCCAAGGCACATGCATTTAAATTTTTGGGTTTTCACATCCAGATGCCAAATGTGGTTATTTTTTCAATGCTACGTGTTTTCTCAAATAAAAGAATGTGTTTATGACAACTACCAACATGTGTCACACATTTGACATTTTTAGGCATCGAGACATGGAGGAAGGGTGTGAATGGGGATAATGCAAAGAGGACTAGAACTCCCTCTCACTTTTGTCGAAGCCTGCGAAAGCGGCAATGCCCCCAACGTGTTCTACTGGCTAAAGGAGAGAGCAGCAGACACTAAAATACTCCTACATAAGAAGACTCAAATTTCTCCCCTGCTTTGATCAGTAGGAATATCTATCAAGATAATTTGATGAATTTTATGGCAGATGGCAGATCCAGAAGTGCTAACATCTGCAACTTGATTCCTCCCATACCATTCAGGCTCTTACATAACTACAGAAACTATGTCCGTACATATTTTCTTACTCTACAATTTTTTAATCCATTCATGTAATAGGAGAGGCACCGGGGCATAAAATAAAAGACGGAGGGCTAGGAGTGGGAGGACCTGGGCCTAGTGCTGGCTAGGCCACTGAGCAGCTCTGTGATCTTCAGCAAGTCACTCTCCACCCCTCACCTCATCACCCACATTTTAGAAGTGAGGGCAAACAACAAATGCTTTCTAAGACCCCTGACTTCTATGAAATCCAACAACAGGTTAAAATCCACAGTTATAAGAAAATCATACTGATGTTTCCATTGTAAAATATCTCCCACAATTGTACCAACAAATTAGCATTCGCATACTAATAGAAAAGGATGAAATAATGGTTGAAAGAGAAGGTGTTACTACTTTAAGAAATGATCAAGTTCTGGGTTAGAAACTGAAGGGAGAGGAGATAACACAGGGAAGGAAACAGAAGATCCACGGGGTTATCATTGAGCAGCCACAAAGACAAGGTGAGACTGTTGCTGAGAACAAAGAGACAGAGAGCTGGCTTTGGAGAAAGTTGACACTGAGTTACACCCAACTTTGTATCCGACCCTCTTGAATTTCCACACAGATTTCCTCCTGAAACATAAGTGATTTTTATCACTTTTTAAAATTACAAATATGATTTATAATGTTCCTCTTGCTGACCCTTTAAACTCCTTTACTGCAGGGCATGAGAAATGAAAAGCCTGGATCACCAAAGCTGGATCGAGGCCACATTACAGCATGTTCCTTGATGACCAGATTCCCATTTGATAGGAGGCTTGTCAAGCTGTCCCGTGTGGACAGCTCAATTACTCACAAATGAAGGGCATGCGTTCTCCTTACTTTGGACTTGTTGCTAACCCCCAAAACGGCTGGTTAGGAAGCCAAAAAAGGGGCACTAACTCAATAGGTAATCTGACAAACAGCCTTAAAAGCACCCTGATGGAGCAGCAACTCATTTAAGAGCCCTGCTGAAGAACCATGTGCTTTATAATCAAACGCAATCAGACACAAACTGAAAACAAAAGACAAGTGCTTGCCAATTCATTCATTCCATACATTTGATCCATACATTTGACTCCAAAAGAGACAAACTTTTTGCTGCCTTGACCATACACTGCAAACTCATCACTAATATTTATTTTATAATATAAAAGGTAGATGTGCAAATGAGGATACAAGCTCAGAATTCAAATACGAAGAATTTTTAAAGTCCTAAAAGGTGTGGAAATAATATCTTTAGGATGGCTCACAGAGGAGGAAGTTACGCCCATCCAATTAGTTGATCCATTTTGATTGTGTCACTTGCAGAGATGGAGAACACTTGTCACCTTGATAAGGGGTGCCCTCTATAGTTTTTAAAGATTTATTTTGCATTCATTCACTTTTTTAAACGAAGACTTATTGAGCACCTACTATGTGCCAGATACTGTTCCAAGCTGTGGATAGATGTTCCAGGTCAAAGTAAAGGTTCCCAGTCAAATAAGTTTGTGAAATATTGGGAGTTAAGCGTACTGCAACATTCCCCAGCAAATTCACACACACACATTGCAACTCCTTGAGGAGAGGCTATGTATACAGGGTTTCCCAACCCTATTTGATCAGGTACTCCTTTCTTTGGTTGGTTGGTTGGGTGGTTGGTTGGGCGGTTAGTTGGTTTTTCCCCTCAGAGAAAGAGAGAGAAGACAAACAGAAAGCAGAGAGAGCTATACAGACTCTACGTGAAGAAGCGCTTTGGTCTAAAAGTCAGAGCTATCTGTAGACGAAATGACTGCAGTGGTAGGAAGAGAAGCTCTTCCCTATCACAAACAACATTAGAACAAAGGCCGAGCAGCTCTGCAGCAAGGAGGCTAGAGAGGACGGTGGAGCATGTAGTGGGGTTGGGATAAATGATCTTTCATGTTCTACTTCTCCAAGAGCCTCTGCCTCCATGATTTGAGTATGTATTACCATTCCAAGGAATTTAAATTCTACTGAGTTTATTAACGACTCCTATAGGGAAAATGATAGTTTAAAAAGTTAAGTAAATCGGCATCTACAAGTATTCTCTTTTGAAGAAAGCAGTTTTACTCCAGATTTTGGCGTCTAACAGCAATAATTCCAACCCTTGAGCTTTATTTCACAGTGGCAATCTCATGTACATTTCCTCCTTCTCTGGGGTTTCTGCTCATACACGATAGAAGAATACGAGTTCTGAACCATGCTGCACACACATGCCACTCGGTCCAAGCACTACAGAGCCATGGCAAATAAACTGCTTAAAAGAGCAAATACCTCTATTCTCACGTTTCCTAAAAATAAGAGGCAAAAATGGAGCACAAATTCAAATACAAAGGAAGATAAAGGAAATGTCAGCCAGAAAGATATAGTCTCTTCCATGGCAATGAACCCACTACCACCGCTAATATGAAAACAGAGGGGAAAGTGTAGTAAACGATTAACAATAGACATCATTTGCCGAGCACCTAGCATTTGCCAGGCACTGCATAAAGCACTTTGTGTGCATTTTCTCTGTCTTAACAACAATCCTCCAAGGTGGACACTAACACTCTCATAGATGAGAAAACAGGCTCAGAGAGGGTCCCATTCATGTGCTTGTTCATTCAAGAAATTTATAGTGAACAATTGCCAGGCACCAGGCACTGTTCAGACCCAAGGTAGAATCTAGTATAAGATTTAGAAGAAGCTTTTATGGTGTCATCGATTTGGTTCCCTAACCTTCAGACAGGCACTCTAAAGTCTGCATTCAGAAGAATACACTCAATTAGCTCCAATGCAAATTACTAACTAGACATGGCTCCATACCCTCCCATTTTCTTCCAGGAAGAGTTTCATCCCAAATCATATCGAGAATGTTTATAAACAATCTTTTGCAAGAACCTCCACTACTTGTACAGCCTGAAATTCCTAACAATGGTGCTTACTCTTAGCAATCATCTCTTTGAAAGTTCCCTATTGCCGATGCGCAGGACTCAGATAAAATGAGGTTTTGTTTGGAGTCTTAAATCCCGCTGTGAGGCAGATGGGACTCTATGAGCGTAATTTTTCCCTTTCAATACGAACGGCAGACACTATACCATCTGTAAACAGTAATGACTTAGCACATGCAACAAACTGAAGCGCTGTCTTGACAAGTGTTATGCTTTAAAAGGTGGAACAAATAAAAGGGTAATTCTGAAATCATTACAAAATGAATTCCCATTAGGCTACAGCAGCACAAACTACGCAG